CTCTCACTGCTGTGGCCTCTCCCGTTGTGGAGCACAGGCTCCGTATGCGCAGGCTCAGCGGCCATGGCTCACGGGCCCAGCCGCTCCGCGGCACGTGGGATCTTCCCGTACCGGGGCACGAATCCGTGTCCCCTGCGTCGGCAGGCAGGCTCTCAACCACTGCGCCACCAGGGAAGCCCAGTATACATTTTAAATAAAGCATATGGAATTAATCTACTCTCTTTCATGAAGAACACAGGATGGGTAGGCAACATTCCATCTACTCCCCACATTTCCAACGGTCATTCCAACAGCCATTTTAAGTTAGAGAAAAGAGTGAAGCTGGGATCTCATGGCATCAGCTTCCTATGGATTACTCTCCAACTTTTTGTCTCCCTGGTTTTTGGAACCCCTTCACCATCTTCCACAGGTAAGACTCATGTTAGTGGAACTGGAGTTACACGCTTGAAACTGACGTTGAAGGCTATAATTTCTAAGTGAGTCTAAATAGTAATAGTAATGCTTTGTTTTCATCTAATGTGGTGGGTTTTATAATGGCCTCCCAAACTCTTCGACCTGTTTCTCTTCCCCTTTCAATGTTCCATGGCCAGTGTGTCTCGCCTTTCTGCCTGAATATTTTGGCTTCCTAACCCGATTCCTTTATATTCTCTTTGCTTTGAAACATCTCCTTCAATTTCTTACATTTGCTCTATACAGTTGACCCTTGAACAGCATGGAGGTTAGGGGCACTGACCACTCCCTCCAGTCAAAAAAAAAATCAATGTATAACTTTACAGTCAGTCTCTGCATCTGAGGATTCAATCAACCACAGATCATGTAGTCCTATAGTTTGTATTTTATTGAAAAAAACCCATGTATAAGTGGACTCGTGCAGTCCAAACCTGTGTTGTTCAAGGACCAACTGTATATCCTTTACTCCAACTTTTTATCTACAACTCATGCTGTGAAGATCATTCTGATATTAAGCACATGACAGGACTTCCCTGGTGGCACAGTGAGAATTTGCCTGCTAATGCAGGGGACATGGGTTCGATCCCTGGTCTGGGAAGATCCCACATGCCACGGAACAAATAAGCCTGTGCACCACAACTATTGAGCCTGCGAACCACAACTACTGAGCCTGCGCACCACAACTGCTGAAGCCCACGCGCCTAGAGCCCATGCTCTGCAACAAGAGAAGCCACTGCAATAGGTCCGCACGCCGCAACGAAGAGTAGCCCCCGCTCGCCACAACTAGAGAAAGCCTGCGCACAGCAATGAAGACTCAACGCGGCAAAAACAAAAAACAAAAAAGAACATGACAGACTTCTTTTTTTTAAAAGAAATTCCCAAGCCACAAGTAAAATAATAATACTTTTCTTTGAGAAGAGTATGTATTATGCACTTATCTGTGGAAACTGAAGCAGGGAAATTATAAGACTTGCTCTAGGTCATATATAAAAATTGGGACTATGTCCTCAGACTCTCAGACTAGTGCTTTAAAACTAAAGACAAAAGGGACTAAGATCAAAATGAATTTGATTAGTTTTTTTTCTTTCTTTTTATTGAAGGATACAACTTGCATAGGTTTTTTTCATTTGCAGATTTTCAAGGGCTTTGTTAAACAGAGAAGCCGAGGAGAAATCTGTTAAAAGTACTGCTAATGACCTTGAGATATTGCTGACTTCCCTACTCTTTCTGAAGCCCCATTGGAGGGAAATTAATTTCCAAGAGCCTTAAACTTCATTTAAACTATGCCAGAGAAGACTGCCTGGAGCATATGTTAGCTCCTTAGTCTTCTTAATGGGAACTATATGCTACCTTCCGTTCCTCTGTCCCAAGTAGGCCTGGGTTCAATATTGATTTGCTGCATTGGAACCTCGTGGGTCATGGGACTAGGGATGTGGCCAAGTAAGATTCTCCTCTTTATTACTGTTGCCATGAAGTCTATGGCCCTGGTAGGTTTTTTGTTTTGTTTTTTAAAACATTTCTGTGATTTTATAAAAGAGCTTGCTTCTAGCCTTAGGTTCACATAGGTTCTCTGTGGAGCACACAGCTTATATACAAAGGAAAGGCTACAGACTGGGTAAAATACTCTCTCTTGGTCAGTTGGTTAGTTGGGTCAATAAAAATTGAGATGTACTTTGTGCAGGGCTCAGTACTGACAGTTAAAAAAGAATAAGAAGTCAAGCTTTTGCTAGTAGTACATCTTAAAAAGATATCCATATAAGACAAATTAAAAATACAATTACAGAAAAACAGAACAAGTCCAAATAAGTCAGCAAAAGCCAGTACTTGAGAGCTGATGGGAAATGGGTTACAGTTGGGTGGAGTTAGTCAATGAGGACTTTCTGGAAGAGGTGAGTTTTGAAGGAAGGGAGGGGCATGGGTTTGCGAAGAAGGATGAGGAGGCCTTTCCTAGCAATAATGCATGAGCAATGGTAGAGAAGAGAGTGAGCAAGCTCTAAGGACCAAGTGGTAAACAGCTTAGCTTGCTAAGACTGGAGAATCTATGTTAAAGGGTAAGGAGAAACAAGTCGGAGAAAATGGTAAGGACAGTGCATGAAGAGCCTTAAATGGTTATATATCAAATTTGCTTTAACAGAAAAGAGGGAGCCTCAAAGGTTCTTGCATAATAAAAATAACTTTTTAAGAAGCTGAGGTACAGATGAATTAGAATAAAACAAAACTGGAGAAGTAGAAAATAGGGGAGATGCTGCAAAATTTTCCAGGAGAGAAAAAAAATGGCTGGGTCCTAATGCCAGCTCTGCCATTTATTAGCTATATGACCTTGGGCAAGTCACTAAATCTCTGTGTGCCTGTTTTCTCATCTGTAAAATGGGGATAATGGTGTCCACCTAACAGAATTGTTGAATGGATTAAATGAATTAATACATGAAAAGTGTTAGTAAGCACTCAATATATTAGTATGCAATTATTAATTACATTATTAATATATTAGTATTATATTATTATTTTATGACCAAAAAGTGGGCATAGAAATGCATCCATGTAACAAAAGGCCCCATCTCACGTCTTACTTTGAAATGATTGCAGCTTTTCAGTCTGTTCTAAAAGGTATGTAGGATTCAGAGGATAGGAGGGCAGGCTTAGTGTCCGAGACTGTGCTGATCAATATAATAGTCACTAGTCACATGGGGTTGTTGAAAACCCAAAATGTGCCTAGTCAAAACTGAGATGTGCTGTAAATTGAGATGTGCTGTAAATACACACTGGATTTCAAAGCCTTATTATGGAAAAAAAAATCACATACATTTATTTTTTTGGCCACCCAGCTTGCGGGAACTCAGTTCCCCCACCTGGGATTGAATCCAGGCGGTGGCAGTGAAAGCCCAGAATCCTAACCACTAGGCCACCAGGGAACTCCCTCATTAAAACTTTTTTGTTGATTGCATGTTGAAATGATAATATTTTGGATATATGGGGTTAAATAAGATGTATCAGTTTCACCTTTTTCTCTTTTTTTTGAATTTAAAGTTACTTAGCTGGCTTGCATTATATATATATATATATTTTTTAAATAAATTTATTTATTTTTGTCTGTGTTGGGTCTTTGTTGCAGCGAGCAGGGGCTACCCTTAGTTGGGGTGCGCGGGCTTCTCACTGCCATGGCTTTTCTTGTTGCGGAATGTGGGCTGTAGGTGGGTGGGCTCAGTAGTTGTGGCTCGCGGGCTCTAGAGCGCAGGCTCAGTAGTTGTGGTGCACGGGCTTAGTTGCTCCGCGGCATGTGGGATCTTCCCAGACCAGGGATCGAACCCGTGTCCCCCGCACTGGCAGGCGGACTCCCAACCACTGCGCCACCAGGGAAGTCCCTTGCATTATATTTCTATTGAACAATAGTGGTCCAGTACAACTTTCAGCACTGAGTTTTAAAAATTAAGCGGTTCTACATGAGAAGGTTCTATAAAGGAATATGGGGAATTATAGATAAAACCTCCTTGTCCTTGACACTTTAAAACATATATTTAAATATACACACATTTATATGTAATTAATATATATTTATATTAAAAATATATATACCTCAATTTGCGAGATACCTACAAAACTGAGGGAGCCACAGCTAATTTACCTTTAAAGAGGCCACAATTGGTAAAAGGTCTTTTATTTTATTATTATTATTTTTGGCTCCACCACGAGGCTTGCGTGATCTTAGTTCCCCAACCAGGAATCTAACCTAGGCCCTGGCAGTGAGAGCACAGAATCCTAACCACTGGACCGGCAGGGAATATCCAGGTCTTCTATTTTTTTCAAAAAAGCAGAAACAAAGACGAAAACAGAAAAAAGGTGAAGCACATCTTACTTTTGAACATTAAATCATGAAAACAAAAATCTTCTAATTTCTGAAATCACACCCTCAAAGGTCCAAATCTTATTGGTTTAAGTAACCTGAATTATTAAAGGTTTTCTGACAAAATTTTTCATATCATCCCCTGAAGTTACTACTTAAAATAACAGAAATAATTACGGCCAAAGAGCCTCCCATCAGGGTTTTCTGCTGGTCTGGAGGTAAAAATCTAGTTTGGGGTTTTGCTCTTAATTGATATTTCAACATTTTGCCTGACTGCACTGACCAACTACATAGGCTTCTATTTCCAAAGACAGCCCGGGGGTTAGCGGGGTGGGGGGAAAGAGAGAGAGAGAGAGACTGAGAGAGACAGAGAGAGAGAGAGAGGTGTGTGTGTGTGTGTGTGTGTGTGTAGGGGGTGGGGGGCCCTCACGCCTTTTCTGTGCTTCTCAAACCCTTCCGGGCTTCTTCCAGCTCGCAGGCGGCCTGCTCCCCGCAGCGGCGTAGACAGGTGCAGCGCGGGCCGCTGCCTCCCACCCCCAGGGCTCGCCGGCGACCCTACATCCCGCCAAGCTGGCCGCGCCCTCGCCGCTCCGCCCCCTTCCCGGCGCGCGCGCGCACACCGGCGGAGGCGCGCCCGTCCGGCGGGGCCGCGCACGCAAAACTGCTGCTGCTGCCGCCGCCGCCTCCTCCCTCCCTCCCTCCCTCCCTCTCTCCCTCCCTCCCTGCTGGCCCTCCTCCCCTTCCCTCCCCTCCGCCCCCTTCCCTGTAGGCAGCCGGCCCGCCAGCCCGCGCGTCCGTACTGCCTGCCTCCCGGCCCCTGGCGCTCCGGCTGGGTCTCTCCCCCGCCCCCAGGCTCCCCCGGTCGCTCTCCTCAGGCGGTCGCCGGCGCTCGGTGGATGTGGCTGGCAGCCGCCGCCCCCTCCCTCGCTCGCCGCCTGCTCTTCCTCGGCCCTCCGCCTCCTCCCCTCCTCCTTCTCCTCCTCAGCCGCTCCTCTCGCCGCCGCCGCCGCCTCCACAGCCTGGGCCTCGCCGCGATGCCGGAGAAGAGGCCCTTCGAGCGGCTGCCTGCCGACGTCTGCCCCATCAATTACAGCCTTTGCCTCAAGCCCGATTTGCTGGACTTCACCTTCGAGGGCAAGCTGGAGGCCTCCGCCCAGGTACGGCGACCCTCGGGTGCCGGGGGCGAGCTGCCGGGCAAGCAGTTAGGCCGCGCCCACGGGCTGGGCTGGGGGCCCGGTCGGCCGGGCGAGCGGGCGCGCGGGCCTGGGCGCTGCGGACCTGGGGCTGGGGGGGCCGGCTCGGGGACGGGCGCGCCCCTCTGGGGCGGCCGCGGGGCGCCCGGCGGCTGTGCTCTGCCCTGCCGGCCTGGGGCCCGGGCCGTGCTGCAGGGAGCGCCGCGGGAACCGGCCGGCCCGGCCCGTGTGCCCCTCGGGGCCAGCACACCTGTGTGGAGCCTCCCCCAAACCCCGGCCCTTCCGGGCTTGGTCTTGGTCTGGGAGAGGCTGGAGGGTGTTGGGGAGGCCAGAGGGGTCATCGGAGTCCATGCGTAGCCTCCTGACTCAGTTCTTTTCTCTCGTTCTCCCTACGCCCCATGGAGGACACATTGGAAGGGGCAGTCATCTGGGACTCCGGCTGCCGCGCGTTAGCCAGGAGGGGAGATTCTAGAAGGGGGAAGAGGGTGAGAAGGAGAATGTTAATCCCGGGCAGCCTTGCTGAGTTCTCCCCGCCTGCTCCGGCCCAGGGGCTGGGTTTCTAAGATGATCCGCCCCCTCCCCCTTCTTTCCCTCAAGTGACAGTGCAGCATTGACTTTGTTCTCTCCTAACCTCTAAAGAAGCTGAAGGAGGACCCCTATCTCCGCTTTTCCTTCCATCTTCTTAGCTTTGCAGCCTTTAAAGCAGGTGGATTTATTGCTACAGCGATGGTTGCTTAGCAGTACCCTCCTCTGAAAGAAGCTATTGGTTTTAGCATACCACCGGTGAAAATATTCCATTACTCTTCATTGCAGTTTTTGGTGAATCATGCTCCCCCCGCCCCTCCCCCCGCAGATTATCTAAAGTATTGTTTGATTTTGGAGATCATTAGTATTGATGCCCTACAAAGATCTAGAACAATAGACATTTGTGATACCATGTTATATGATGTATTATGTGAAGTCTGTAATGAAAAATGGGAACTGTTTAGTAGTTACCTTTAAAAAGAATGATGGTAAATACATTTTGTTTCATTTCTTTTCCTACTGCAGTCAGGGGGAAAAAATCAGTAGGCCTCAACCTTAAAGATTAGGGTGTATGTAGCAGCGAAATGAAAAAAATGTAGACTAGTGTAGCGTTCGAATGAATTGAAAGTTGGCAGTTGTTTTTGAAAGCCGAGTACTCAGATTGAAAATATGTCTAAAAGTGTAGAATTAAAAAGTATACTGTCAGATTTGGAGTGCTTGTACGAAAGCATGAGGGCTCTGTTGTCTGGCTGCATCAAAAGGCAAAACTTACCCCTGTGAAAGTCAGGTGATTTAAAAATTTTCCATTAAGAATATGAATCAGAATGAGTGCATCTTGGGTCTAAATTAGGATTTGAGAGGGTTATTTGGGAGAGACTGTTTATTTAAGCCAAGTGACTAGAGTGTTTGATATATATTGGCTGTGGGCAGATGGGAGGGATTGTAAACAGTAGTGTGTCTTGTGACTTGGCAGACCTGCGGGAAGAAGGACCTAGCAATGAATGAGTTTGCATTATGTGCAAAGACTAACATTAAAAAAAAAATCATTTGTTTCTTTACCCCAATAGTTGGTGTACCCCATAATGCATTCATAATTTTGAGAGGTATACATATTTAGGGAAAAGTTTCAGAAAAAATATTATCAATAATAAAGATTTTCAAATGATTATTTTATTGGGAAATGATAGTTTTATTTGTGTTAGGGTATGACAACAAGCAGTGACATGCTTGTCCTTACCCCTTTTCTACTTGCTTTTGGAAAGAAATGAGAAATAGTTGGTGGACTGGTTTGGGCCAATGAAGGAGCATGTGGTAATGTACTAGGCATTAGCAGGGACTCATTAATTTGATACAAGGAAATAAATGAATCTTTTTTTTTTTTTTTGTAACATTAAGTTTTCAAAGCTTTTCAGAAAATTTTTTTCAGGCAAGGTGGCAACACAAATGAAAGATGGCATGATAGAGAATTCTAACAGGTTTTATTAAAGGATGATTGGACTTTTTAATTGTATGCTTTGCCACCTTTGGAAGTGTAAAGAGGAGTTAACATTAGTAAAAAGTTAACATTAGTAGTAAAAAGCATATATTGATGTTTTTGAAATGCATAGATTGGAGCAGTAAGTTTAACTTGTGGCATTAGGTGGTATCTGATTGTGGAAATATAAAAATGTGGACAAAATTATATCTCTAGAAGCCTAGATTGATAATTGGTATTGTGTCAGTTCCCTAACAGTTTGGAATTACATTGCACAAAGTATGCAAGTTGCTTGGTTGCTTTAGTTGCAAAATTTTATGATAAGCTCAGAGTATTTGTACAGGTTACATATTAGAAACTTAGTGGATTTTTAACCTGGTCTGGGGTGTGGACTCCTGGGGAAGATGAAAATTAGTCAATGTGCAGTGATTTAAAAGTAGTTGTCTTTTACGTAAGTGAGTGTGGTCTAATTCAGCAGGTTTTGAAAATGTGTTATCATGGGCCTAGAAAAATGGGACATTCCCTTTCCTCTCCTTTTACATTAGGATATTTGAGAGGAACAGACTTCGTAGCTATTTAAAATTCTGACTCTCTTGCTTTGTGGTTAATTAATTTAAAAATAGATTACAAGTTTATGTGAGTGGCTATAGTTCCTGGTTATGAGTGTATAGTGGTTTATACAGTAATTCTCTTATGGAAATATTTCACCTGTGCCAGAGAAATTAACTTTATCCTTCAATGCCAGAAGTCAGGATATACTAAACAATCCCTGGCCTCCGCCAACAAAATATTCATGATGGTGATGACTAAATTGGCACGTAGAGGAGAGTTACAGATACAGTAGATTGTTTGGCAGGCTACAACTTGGCACCTAAGTGGATGTTATTGTCACCCTGTGTTATGGAATTTTCTGCCCAAATTTTGCAGATATTCTATGCAGTCATTTTAGTAGTTTTTTATTACTTAAAACAGATAAAGTTAATTAATTTGTACAGCATTGTGCTAGATCACTAAATCGTCTTAAATTAAATTTGAAAGATTAGTCATAAAGAATTGAATTTGTTCAGATTTTCTATTCTGTTTCTTGAAATGTATCAATGAGGAAACACCTGGGTATAAGAAACTTTTGTATGGTAAGTTGTATCCAGTATCATCTGGCATTGAATTTTGCAGTGAATTTTCTAGATAAATGAAGCTTACCCTTTGAGGCACTCAGACTTTAAAAAATATGTAAATATTTTGATGGAAATGTTTATCTTTTTAAGCTCCATAATTCCTCATAATCTAGGTTTCTTTCTTTTCTTCTTTTTCTAAATACTGGACAGCATTCTAACATGTCATTGATACTTATAACCATAGATTACCCAAAACTGTGTACTATAATTTACTAGTTTCATATCTTTTCTTTAAAGTTTGTTTTCCTTACTCTCAGGTTATTACTTGCTGCTTGTTGTGCCTTGTTGCTCCCTATTGTGCAATTTCTTCCCTCTTCTATTTTACTGAACTTGATCTGAAGAGGTCTAAGTAACCAAATAAACAAGCTTGTTTGAGCTTAAAATTTTTTTCTAAGTGAGGGTTTGATGGATTCTCTTCTGAGTGTAGGGTATGAGCTTTATTGTATGGACTTTGAATCATCTATTCTGGCTTCCATAAAGGCTTTTTTTTTTTTTTTTTTTTAAACTTCCTGGTTCTTGATAATTGATATTGTCCAATACAACAGTACAACCTGGATAAATGCAGTCTTGAGTAGTAAATTATCTATGAAACTTCTCTGAACTTTGCTACATAAATGAGCCTGTTCTTATTGTAAAGTAAATCTTATTCTAATCTGTATTTGAGTCAGTGGCAAAGGACTGAGTCTTCAGATAGCTGTTTTGTTGTTAATTGAGATTAGTTGTCTAGATCTTGGAGATTCCATTTTGAACACCATACAAGTATGTAGCTCTCAGTTTATTTGGCCACATGTAATCACTTTAAAATTTTATTTTAAATTAGGAAACATTTTAAATACAGAGAAAGTAACCACCACCCAGATTTAGCAGATATTAATGTTTTGCCCCATTTGTTTTAGCGTGTACATGATGTTTTTTGGAAAATAAAATGTCACAGAAACCACTAAAGTTCATTTCCATCTCTTCTCACCCTCACCCTGAGAGGTAAATTCTCTTTTTTGGTAGGTATTATTCCTATGTATAGTTTTAAAGTTTTAGGGTGTACAAAAGTAGCTACAAACAATAAATAGTAATGTTCCGTATGTTTATGTGTTTATGTGTTATGTTTGACTTTCTGCAGCTTGCCCTTTTTAATGTCTCTTTTGTTAGAAAACTCAGCTCAATTTGTGTTTACTAATTATTTGCTCCTTATTGTCTTTAGAAATTATAGCCCTATTCCACAAAGGCAATGATTATTACAAAATTTTAATGATGAAATCGCTTTTTAGGCAAAGTGACTCAGGCTTCAGACTGACTGGTATTTAGAATTATCACACTGGAGATTTCCTTTTACTAAAATCTCAGGATTTTAGCAATCAGAAAAAAACCCTTTTGAGTCTTTCTAGTACGTGTAATGTGTATTCCTGAGTGATTGTAGTAAAGACTTATTTAGGAAAAAAATTGTCTTAGATTGCTGCTTTCGTAGCTCTTAGGAAACTTCCATTGTAAAATTGTTACCAATGGTCAAGCTGTCTCTTCAGTAGAACCATTACTTAACATTTGGTTCAGTTGAAGTACAGTCTGTATGGGACTCCAAGAAGACTTAACTAACCCTGGGTTTGAATCAAAGAAAGGATATGCTAACGTTCCATTCATTAATAGCACCAAATGGAAAAGTTGGAAATAAGCTTGTTATCAACACAATTTATATGCCAGTTTTAACATTCTGCTTCTATTTTAAGTTTGGAAAGTGAAGATTTTTTTAAAAAATAAATTTATTTATTTATTTATATTTTATTTTTGGCTGTGTTGGG